TGTATGGTTTGGGAGTATGTGAGGGTTAGTGCTGGTGGCAGTGGCTGGTTGAGGGTGAAAGATCGGTTTTGAAAACGAGATTAGTTTGGCCAAAGGAAAAGAACTTGCTCCAACACCAAATTGATGCAGGAACGTACTAATTTGACAACAAACAAGAAAATGAACAAGAAACAAAGGGGATCAAAGAAGAGAAAAATTGAGGGCAAAGACGAAATCAATTTTATCGACATAATAAAGGGTGTACATTACTATGAAAAAGCCCTCTATATATAAAGCAACTGATCTAAAATTAAAAGAATCTCTAATAAACTAAAACTTTAATAATATATTCAAATTAAACTAATCTAATCTAGACACTCATAATTTGAATTAAACTCTTATCTTAAAATCCAATCTAAAATATATCTCTATCTCCATCAAATAGACAAGGCAAACTGAATATTTCAATGCAGGGCCAAGCTTAATAGTCAGGTTAATTGAACAAAGAATGACGAATAGACATTAAAAATGCACCCACAATACTATAATTACTTAATCCTCATAGAAAAGATGCACTCTCTGGTAAAGAAAATTTTCCTCTATCAAAACAATAAATATCTGTCTGAAATATCAATTACCATGACGAACAGCTAGACCCCAGTATCTTGCAAGCCAACATCTTTTAAGGACAACTTCTTCCTGCATTGAGAATATGTTACAAAAGCAACTCCAAATGATTTTAGCAATAGTTTTAGAAACAATAACGAGAATAATATACTATTAATGCAACAATAGCTGCTCACCATTTCATGTTGGGTCAAAACCATCCTATGCGTCATATTGCGCAGGGCTTTAACTTCAGACTCAGTTCCCTGTAGCTGATTAACAGCAGTTGCAACCTCATCTTTTGCAATCTAATTTAGTAAAAATGTAAAGCATTAAAAGCAGTGGGAAAATCCCTCAAAAAAGTAGCGGGAAAGAAAAGTGGAGTAGATGAAAGGTAGTCTTTTTTACCTTAACCTCAGATTGCAAGGATGCCAGTTCCACATCTATCCCATCTTTTGACAGCTTTGCTTCTTTAAGCGCAGCCTATTAACAGTTCTATTGTAAGAAAATGGATAAAGCACAAACTCACACTATGTAATATATGTACCAGTATCCATGCTGCAAATCACTTACTCTCAGGTTTTTTACATTTAACTTTCCCTCCTTTTCTCTTATTTTGAGAACTCAATGATTATACCACAGCCAAAATAAAGTAACCTGTATGGCAAACCCAAAGATTACGAATTACCTCTCTTTGCCTCAATGCAGCTTCCTTCCTGCAAATTTGTGATATGAGATTTCATCATGCAATGATCAGAAAATTAGGAGACATATGAATGCATTTGTGGCCATTATTATACCTGCTCAAAAGTTTAGCTTCCAAAGATACTCCTTCTCCAAGTGCAGCTACCTGAGCATAATTGGTAGCCAAGTTGAGATAAGTTCAAAACAAATCCCATTACTTGGTTGAAGACCAATTGTTTTTATTAATTGCAAATCAATCTGATTCACAAATCTAAAAGCAGGAAGTATGTGTTCATTGATTTGTTCACCCAGCACTCATTAACCTTGCAACTATTTATTTAAAAAGAGAAAAGAGGTGCGCTTTGTAATGATGTAAGAAAAATCATGTAGCAAACAAGTTGCTCTACTGTACAATAACCTACTAAGTTTGACCAAGGGCTGAAAACATATAGAACATTGTAGTAAATGCCTGGACATCAATAATGTAAAATCATGCGGAAAAGGAAATCATCTACGTTCATGAAAATGGAATATATTACAATTGCATAACAGGGGGATGGCATGAGCCAAATTATAGGAATTGCAGCTAAAGGAAGACAATTAGTATAAAAGCTTGAGAATTTCCAGTTATAAACCAAGGAACCCCTTGATAATCAGGCAAACAAAATGATAGAAGAAACACCTGTCTCTCAAGCTCCCTAACTCTAGCTTCAGCTTCCTCGCAACTATCCTCTGCAATTCTGAGCTGTAAAACGCATATGAATCACTGTTTAAGATGCCACGAATGATTTTTATAGTACACAATTGGAGTGAAGGAAGACTTGAAGAGCACAATACAAGAAATAAGAAGGATCTAAACCTTTTCTTGAAAACTCTCATTTTCCTCTTGTAGCATATCAAGCTGCCCAACAAGCAGATATTAGACTGATAAACGACGAGCAGAAAACAAACTCCTCTCAAGAGCAGGAAATTAACTGCATTATATACAGAACACTGGTTCAATTTTTTTGTATATAAATAACATACTTCATCACGAAGGGCAGAAGACGCGCGCTCATCTCCAGTATCTTTTAAGTTTAATTGTGGCAAATCTGGTGAGAACCTGCAGTTCACATTGGTATGTGTACTAACATGAAATGAACCAAATGAAATTGCAATACTATCCAACTATTGACACACAGATAAGTATTCACCATACAGGGAAGCTTACACTCCTATACAGAGAAGCTCTGACTGCTGCTCAAATTTGCATGTGAATGGAATTACGGGAGGACATATCCCCCAATGTACAAGGGACACAAGGCTTTAACCAAATAAATATCTATACATTATTCCCACACGATGACAGTTTTTACAGCGGTATAGAAATTTTAAAAAGAAAATGTTTTGTTAAAAAAAGTAGTAGTGCCTGATGATTTATGGGAAGTTGAAAATAATTAGTTTCTGAAACAGCTGAAGGACAGAGTTCATACTTTTTCTCTCTTTGTCTGTTGCTAAGAGAATCAATTGGTGGTATAGGCATCGGAGTCTTAAGCGATGGTCTACTGGGTGGCAGTGAAGGCACTGTGCGAATTGACATGGATGGCCTTCCAGTTGATGTTGAGCGAGATGGTGGAGCTTCATCCAATAAGTTTTGAGTGACCTGATCAAAATAAGGAAGGAAAACAAAAGGAAGCCCCGATATCCCTCAGAACACACCATACAAAAATCTAGATTCATTTATGGACATCAGTAGATGAGATGCGCACAGTTACATACATAGTCAAAAGCCACAGTCAAAGTTCATTTACATTTCTTGCCTTGTATTATAATAATTTGCTGAAGAAAAGGAAAAATCTTCACTTTTTGTATCATGTGCACAAAATACAAACTATAAACATATTGATGCCAAAAAAATCAGCGGGGGAATTCAAGCGGCATGATTAGCATTTCAAATATCCACTTCAATACATAGCTTAAAACAAAATGCGCTGTTGGAACTTTAAAATCCAGACTTACGAATTAAAATCATTGTCGGGGAATTTTACTTTCATTTACAGAAAATCCTCAAGATCAGTTCTAAATTTACAGTAGAAGTAAAACTAAAATTAAAAATTACCGCATCCGAAGAAGATCTACTGATCTTAGGAGCCGGAACCACAGGCCTGCTGCTACTATTACTGTTATTGTTAACGCCGATAGTTTTGACGGGCCTGGAGAAGGAGAGAGGAAGGGGAGGATTGAATCGGAGTCCTAAGTCATCTTCATTGTCTCCGTCATCATCGTCGTCGTTGTCGGCGGCAGCTTGGGAAGCCATGACCTGAGCGAGCCGCTGAGCGGCGGCTTTAGCGGCATAGTTCTGAGTTCGCTTAATGTTGGAAATGCCGCTCACCGACGAAGACCGACCGTGATTTCCACGCGCCGGCGACGACACCCCGGACTCGCTGCTCCACTGGCGGGAGTACGGCGGATTCTCATCCCTCTTTTTCTCCATATTATAGTTTTATCAGAAATTAAAAATATTAAAAATGAAAATGTGAGTTGAAAATGAGGAGAAATTTCGTCTAGATCTTCGTGCAATGGCACTGTTTCTCGGGCGTCAGGGCTTGACGGGGATATGCAGATATTATTGTTGTTATGCGCAGTAGTTGTTGATTGTTTTATTTTTGGTTAGTCTCAGCTATAATATTGAGCCAATGCATTCATTTGACTGTAATCTAAAATAATAATTTAAAATTTTTAAAGAAGGATTATAAGATGGACGATCATTGCCTAAATAATGATAATAAAATACAGGAGACAAAAATGTGGAGTTGATAATGTTGGATCGATAGTATCCCTTCATCTCAAAGCAATTCAAATTCTTCTTGCAAAAGCTTATGCAATCTTTGGGGTTCCTTTTTTTTTTTTTTTTTGTCCACTTTTCTTCTACTTCCTTCCCACCTTGCAAATTTCACTAGTAATAAGGTCGAATTTGATCAATTTTGAACTCAATTCTTGCTCCCCCATCCTACCTCCTAGTGAATAGTGGCGTGACCTCGTGGACTCTGTATCTCGAGGTCTCCATAAAGACTCCTCACCAATTCTAACACCTTAACCTCGTCTTTCCAATGAAGCTCGTACTCTATCTTTGGACTTACAATTCACACCCACTAGCTAACGCGTAATGACGTCTTATATGACCTTCTTCTAGATCAGAGCCTAGTACTTATTGGTCGCCACATCTGCCATGGTTAAAGGTAGCTCGAAGGAGTACCATCAGGCAGGAGGCCATTAGAGAAACAGAACCAGATCTACCATAGTGAGGCAAGGACAGCATAATAAGGCAGCAGCGCAAGAGAACGAACCCAATCTTCACATACAGTAAGAAGGTTTAAATAT